GTTAAAAACAAAAACTTTATGACGCCGCGCTCACATTCAGATATTCGCAAAGATTATAATGTTTTTAGATTGATGGGATGATTGAACATGAAAGTAAACTGAATTACAAAATTGCTGCACACTTAAATGCTCAGCTTCACACGAGTGATAGGCTATTGTGTTGTTATTTTTATGAAGATCAAAATGAATTTAGATCAAAAATACTGATGGATTATTGGTTCCATGGATACAAGATATATTTGAAATTGTTCCTGTTTTTGCATGGGGTTGGTTGGAAGCGTCTCCGCCTACCACGCAGACAAGTCATCGAGTTCGAAATTGCTCCTCGTGTACATGGTAATACTTAAAGACAGCCCAAAAAAAGTTATTACTATAGTTTTCTAATTCATAACAAATTGTGCAGAAAACAATGCACTTGTTCTATCCGGAAAAACTCGAGGAATAAAAGATTACCGGATAATGTTTCTTTCTTCTTCCGAAACAAAACATACATGAAAAAAATTAATTCGCATGTGAATTATCTGGAATGCGATTGCTGCAAATTATAGCTTTTTTGGAGATTTGGAAAATGGACTTGCCTTTTATTGTTATCCAACGTCCTCGCTTGGACTTATGCAGTCAGAGCACAATAAAAATGTCTGAAATAGTTAATTTAGAAGTAAAAATCAAACGAAAGCTTTTAAATGAGATGTTGAAACATCTAAAGTTAGTTAAGAACGAGCATTCCATTTATCATGATAGATAACTACCATAACAAAATTTTACAGTTTTCGTTTGACTATGCACAGCCAATCTTTATACCGACCCCGCCAAATAAACCGGGATCAATCTATTTTTTAACTCCGTTTAAAATTGGGATTTTTAGTAATGCAAATGAATTGGTCTGTCTTCAGAACAACTATGTGATACCTGGAGACATGTTGAGAGGGAGAAAACTGAATTTTGAGTATGAGTCATCACTACTTTACTGAAAATGAAAATTGTATCATTGTATCATTGTATCATTGTATCAATTGTAAATTGTATCGCTGTATTTCCTTGCTAACAACTGCTTTGGGTAAAATAAAAAAACTGCTTAGGGTAAAATAAAAACAATATTATAATGCAGTATTTGTCGTGGAGAATAGCTGTTGGGTTAAACCAAAAAATATCCATCTTGTTTCTTCCTCTCGGTAACACGAAGGTTTTAAGCAGGATTAAGGATTTTGAAATTTTAGTTTCGGTGAAGTTAAGCAGCTTCGAATTTGATGCATCCATAGAAGGTAGTTCTCTAGTTTTAAAATTGAATAAATCGATCATCTTTTTTTTTTTAATTCTGTTTAGGTGATCCAAGAAGTCCTTACGGTCAGAGCACCGCGGATGAGCATTTAATTGGAAGTTCACGCCTCTTTCCAAACCGATGTCGCAAAACTTGCTCATAGGTGGGGTTTGAACCAAGGACCCTTTGTTTGCAAGTGCACTACCACTGCGCCACAGCTGCTTTGAGCAGCCGTGGCGCAGCGGTAGCGCACTTAGTGGTATCATTGTTGGAGTTATCATCATGCTTCAGTTAGTGGTATCATTGTCGGAGGCATCATCGTCGGTAGCGCACTTGCCTCAGTCGGTGGTATCATCGTCGGTGACAAAAATGACACGATTTTTGATTGGCAAGAACAGTATTCATCCTATTTAAAAATGATTCCTAAGCTCAAACAATTTCACTCTTTCTCGTTTCAATTTAATAAACCTGAAGTGATCACTTGCAAGATCGATTCGGACTATAAAGAGGTTGAATTTCAAATATGGCTGCACTATTTTATTTGTTTTAAACCAAACATGTTGACAGGATAATGTTTGCCCAGGTTTTTTTATTTTTTAACCTAGATAACTATGAGAATTAAATTACGAAATAATAGTTATATTATAGTTATATTATAATAATAGTTCACTCTTACGTCAATACACAAAGTCTGAAATTAATCTATTTTGGGCTAATACATAGGTTCATCAGCTATGCAAACAATTCATGGGCAAGTACTCAAACATCAAAGCTTAAAAAACTGTATAGTTTGCAAAAACATGCTTGCAGAATCATTTACTATAAGGATAGGCGTTAACGCGCTAAACCCTTAATGAGTGATATGAAAATGATGAATGTGTCTGAAATAAATGTCTATCAGCATTTAATTTTCATGTATCGTTACAATTACAATATCTCTCCTATAAGATTTAATAACAAGTTTGAATTAAATAAAAGTGGAAACTATAATCTTAGAGCAAACATGTTAAACACATATAAACTGCCTCGGATAATAAATAAATATTCAGAATACCTTTCAAAAAGGTTTCAAAGGTACGGTAAATTCGTTAAGTTCATTCAAGTTTATAACAAAAAAAGAATTTTTTAAAATTTAAGAAACTTTTTTGGTTAATGTTACTACTCTACTTTTTGTTGTTCTTGTTGTTGATGTTTAACAATCTTATTAGTGAATTACGCGTTTTATTACGATATTTATTACGATATTTAATTGAAATTTTATTACGTATATATTTTACGAAATGTTTTATGAAATTTTATTACGTATTACGTAATACGATATTTGATTGAAATTTTGTTAAAGGGGCTCTATGAAAAGATTGCGATGACGTACTGTCATCCGCATCTTTTTTGAGCCTCTATCTGTTTTTACTTACTTTTTTTTTTTTTATGAAGCACGTTGTAAAATTCTTGTCATTAAACAGAAAAAAAAAGTTAGGTTATTATTAATAATATAATAATATTTGAAATAATAGTTAGGCTTTGAACAATTAAAACTTCATTAAATTAACTTTAATTATATTTTATTTCTTGGCAAGAACTGCAAATGTTCGCAAACAGTTCAAGAAACGGTTAATAATCTAAATTTTTTGATGGGTTTGCCTCCAGTTAAAGAAAGCTGTCTACATGTTCTTTCTGCAAACAAGTTGGACATAAAATACTATGTAAAAATGGTTCTAGTTTGCCCCAAACGAAATGCAGAATTAAGTATTTAATTAAGAGTAGGTATATTATCAAAATCCTAACTTATGCCACAAATGTTTTTTTTAACTGATTTAAATTTTATATTAAATCAGATTAAAAACTTTTTTTAAAAAAATGACAAAAAATGATGGTCTGTTTTTGTAGGCTTAAAAGGATGGTCTGTTTTTGTAGGCTTAAAATGATGGTCTGTTTTTGTAGGCTTAAAATGATGGTCTGTTTTTGAAGGCTTAAAAGCATTTTGTTGGTTTAAAAACAAAAAATCTCATCATTACCATGATAACAACTTAAGCTTTGCTAACTTGAATTTAATTTTGTAAACAAAACAAAAAAAAGTTTTAAAATTATTAATTTTTATTTTAATTTTTTTTTAGTTTTTTGTTTTAGGTATCCCAAGAATTAAAAGTCTTATCACAGAGCACCGCGGATAAGCATTTTACAAGGAAGTTCACGCCTCCTTTCTTACCGACAGCGCAAAATATGCCCAGAGCTCGCTTGAAACCCTGGGTCTCTTGCTTCTAAAGCAAACTCTCTAACCAATGCGTAACCGCTGCAACACTATGTTAAATTTAGAAAAATAACACGTGCGATAGCGCGTGTTATTTTTTTTAAGAAAGTTTAATATCGTAAAATTGAGAATAATTTACTTACGTTTCTGATCTCTGGAGAGTGTCACATTATGCTGTAGTCAGCAAATTTTTTTTGTATAATTTTTTCTTTTTCGGGTTCCCAGAAAGGCTTAAGAAATTAATCTTTATGATAAATCCAAAGTAATCTAAATTCATACTCTTGAATAATTATTCTTTTTCAAGATTATGATTTAGTAATTACAAAAACCGTTTGTTAGAACGCTTATATTTCTAACAGAGCTTAAAAAGAAAAATACAGGCAACAAACATTTACCTCAGTACAAGGCCGGCGCGATAGGGGTGTGTGACACCCCCTCCCCATCAATGATTTTTAGTCGGCAAACTGGACCCTTAGTCGGTAAATTGGACCCTTTTAGAATAGTTAGTCAGCAAATGTCGACCCTTTCGATATAGGTTAGACAGTCGGCAAATGTCGTCATGACAGTCGGCAAATTTTGGAAAACGAGGACCTTTTTTTTTTTTTTTTAAGTCGGCAAAAGTTGTTATGGCACCCCCCCACGTGACACCTACTCGCGCCGGTCCTACCTCAGTATTTTATCCTGATAATAATGAGAAATATCTAAATATTGTTAAAAGCATAAACTCTTAATTATATTTAAAAAGAAACCTTTCTTTATATTCTGTCCTTTAAATAATATTTAAAATTTTTTTTTTTTACTTACAGAATTAATATTGAAAATACAAAAACTAGTTGCAAAAGAGTAAAAAGAAATCCTTGCTGTTCTCTTTGACAAAAAACTACTGGAAAACTTGAAATAAAGGTATTGTTTGTATCGGTTATAAAATATCAAAACGCTTTGGTATTCATTATCAATCGTTGGATTTACTAAATAAAGATCTATTTAAATTTAAGTTTAATGAAAAGTTACAAGTTTATAAATCATAAATTTTGAAAATAACTATTAACTTTCAAAACCATTTTTTAAAGTTAAAACTACCTTGTTGTAAAGCATACGTTTATGAAGTTTTGTCTCATCTACTAAATTAAATTTTAACAATGTAATTCACAAATTTTTGTAAATTCTATGATATAAAACCTACCCTTAAACGTGCTTTACAAACAACAGTCTCCTTAAAGGAGCCTTTTTGCAAAACTAGTTAAGAACAATATTTAATTACATAACGTGATCATCATATCTGGAATAAAATCTTGGAAAAAATAGTATTAGCATGCGTAATTAATATAAATTGTTTTCAAAAACTCATCAATTCGAAAATCTAGTAGGCTCTAGCGTAAAATCTTGAATCCCAACGGACACATAGTCCTTAGGGAGTTAAATGTTTTTAAGACATTTATAGGACGTCTAAAAGACTAAAAAAAATATTGGCTAAAAAAATATTGACTTGAATAGTGTATTAAGGATTACTTTTAATAATTAACGTAAATTACATAATGTTAAAATACATATTTAAGTTATGCAAACACACATTTCGTTCAAGAGCGATTTTACTGGGAACAGGAGCGGGTGGTGTGACAATCCTCCAAAAAAGCTATTTTTGGAGGATTAAGGAACTATAAGCTAACTTATAGTTTCTTTTTTTTTATGAAAGCATTCAGTAGTTTTAAGGATTTGACCCCGCTTCTCTCTTCCCTCTACCACCCCCTCCTCCACCCCTTAGTCATTTTATTTCTAGAATTGCTCCTAATTGCATTTATAACCATTTTTTTTTTTGTAGATGTTTTGTTGTCTTTCTACCCATTCTAAAAACTTTTTTTATTATTCTCAATGTTAAATTTGAAACTCAATGTTTTCACTTTTTGTTTTCACTTTAATCAAAGTTTTAATTTCTTCGATTTAACTTTAGTTTACTTTCCACTTCCAAAATTGATTTCGATGAAGTTGAAAAACTTTTCAGTATGGATTCTTTAAAGTCTTTTTTATAAAATGCATATATCAATGGATTAGTTAGTGAGATAGTGAATCTGAGAAGAAATAAAGCTTCAAGAAATTCACTTGGAAGTTTGCTGAATGCATGATAAGTCAAACAAAGAAGAACTTTCATTAATAAATAAGGAAAGCAAAATAAAATAAAGGTAACAAACATTATACAATTGACTATGATACCTCTTGACTCGCGTAAACAAAATCTTTTTAGGTGATTTCTTGAATTTTCTTTTAGTAGACGGCGGATCAAACAAAACAACCAAATATATTGAAAGAGCAACACAAATATTGGTATTACGGAAAATAAACCAATCGTAACAACAGTGTATATTTTATTGCTGAGCTCATATTTTACATGATGTCTGTGTGGTGCTTTTATAAAAGGAATTATATAACTAAGTTGGATGATAGCAACAAATGCCCCAATAATCCATGCCATTAATGATAAAACTATAAGTCTTTTTTTCGTAATAATAACAGTATAGCGAAGTGCATAATAAAGTGAAACAAACCGTTCACTTGATAGCAATAACAAATGCAGTACAGATGTAATCGTCAAACCGGTTGTAAGGATGTCTATAAAAAAAAAGTAAGATGCTTTGAAATAGTTATATAATGTTGAACAATCGGCTAAAATGATATAATAGAATGGTAATAAGTGTCCAAAAACGGAAACACCAGTCATTAAATCCGCAATTGAGAGACTAATTAGCGAAATATTCCCTCTCGTCTTTCGCAGTGTTCTATTCTTCCAATATAAGTACATTACGAAAGAATTTGTAAAAATTATCAAAAAAGCAAGAATTAATGCTGGAATGTGGACCGCGGAATTAAATTCTATTCTAATCTCTTTGCATTTTGCAGAATATTTATAAACAGAAGTGTTTTTTAAGTTAAATGATGAATCGTTCATTCCAATGTTCGTTGCAGACGAAGTCAAAAAAATATTTCAATGTTTGTTTTTAATTGTATACTTTTAGGATGAAGCAAATGCATTATATTGTATATAGTAGTATACAGTAGTAATATAACAATCTAAATATTCTTCAATATTATAGTTTTTTTTTATTTTTTTAATGTATGGAAACGTCCGGTATGTAAACACACATTATGCAAACATCCTGTAAATCTAAATATAAACAAGTATTTATTATTTATTCTCTCTTTAGTTTTTTATCTAAAAAACCTCATTTAGTATGCTTTTCTAAAAAGGAAAAATAAAAATAAACACTTATGTTCAAGACTAAACTTATTTAAGGTGCCATTATGCAACATCTATCTTTAAAATAAATGTGCAGATTTTCGAAAACAAAAGTTTTATCAAGTTTTAACGGCACATATACACACGCTCATACGCACACAATCACTCACACACGCACGCACAATTTAATTTTGACGAGATCTACAAATAAAATTTAAATACAAAATAAAAAATTACTTAAAAATAAAGAAGTTACGAAATCTTATGTAACTTAGCAACCGCTACCTTAACGGGTAAACACGTTTCTTTTTTTAACTACTGTTATGGTAAAAGCAAATAAAAGTTCTTTAGTCCATCACAATAATATTATTAGTATAAAACATAAAAGAAAGCTTAAAAAGAAAACGTACAATATTAAATTTATTAATAACTTAACAATAAAGTCAAATATATTAGATATTAACAAAAATGGCATGTTTAAATATACATATATTGCTCACAAATTAAAGTCTTTTAATTTATTTATTCTTTTTAAAAAATTATTGCCAACCTGGAGTGACAAAAAACGTTGTTTTTTTTTTTAATTAAAAAATTATTTTTTAACCAAAGAAATACTAAACAGAATAACAAGACAAAGATAAACTAATAAGTTAAGTTCTAAATTTTTGCGTTGCTCACTTATTATTAGTATTTTATTATTTTTATATTGCAGAAATTTGCATTTTTTGTCTAAATTTTATTTAATACACATCATTTGTTCATCTGACATTATTAGACATTATTAGACAGACAAAAATAAGCTTATTTTTAGTTAGATTGATTACAAGAACAAATTTATCAATAAATAATTTACCAATTCAAATGAAATAATAAAAAATAAATTAATTAGTCAAAAAAGATAATTAGATATTTATTAAATAAAAAGATAATTAGATATTTATTAAATAGATAGATAATTAGATATTTATTAAATAGATAGATAATTAGATATTAAATAGATAATTTGATAAAAAATATAAAATTTAAGTTTTTGAGTTACATAAAAAGAAAGGTAAGTAGTATATTAAAAAAATATATACACTACTTATAAGTAAAATCGAAAAAAACTAAATACAAGTACTTCAATAATAAACAACACATGACAAGGGTATAAACAATGATTACAACAATCGATATTTTGGTTTTTAAGAAAAAACAATCAATTCTTTAAACATATGTGCGTGCGAGTCTTTTATTTCGCTGTTTCCTTGATGATTTCATAAAGAAATTTAATTCAGCTTAGAATGCAGTCGTTTTTTGACATAATTAAAAAAGTATTAAAAATAAAATTATATAATATATTGTTTTATTTTTAATAATTTATTTTATTATTAATTATATTAATACATTAATATGATATAACTATTATAATATTTTTATTTTTCTTTAATTTTTGTTATTAACATTATTATTAATTATTACAATTTTACTATTATCGTAATTATTACAATTATTATTAACACTAATATAATTAAACCAATATAATATAATAATAATAATTAATTACTAATACACACACATATATATATATATATATATATATATATATATATATATATGTATATATATATATATATATATATATATATATATATATATATATATATATATATATATATATATATATATATATATATATAAAGAGAGAGAGAGAGAGAGAGAGAGAGAGAGAAGGAGAGCATCTGTTAAACGTGCTTAGATTCGCTTACTAAAAGAAAGCATTATTTGCGCTCTATTGTTTTTAAAACTTTAATCTTTATATCGATAAAATTAAATGAGAAAAATATTTTATAGAATCTTGGAATAAATTATATAAATACAAAATTTTATAAGATCTTGAAATAAACCTGTTTTATTTCAAGATCCTGTAAAATGCATTTTTATAGCATCTTGAAATAAACAAGGTTTATTTAAAAAATTACTCATAAATACCCCACAAAGTATTCAATTAATAATTTTGTTGTTCCAAAATCTTATTTAAAACTCAGTTCGTTTCAAATTCAATACTGTGGACCATTTATATGGAAAAGTTTTTTGAAAAATATTATTAAAAATAAAACTCTTCTAAATTTCTCACTAGAACAATTCAAAAGAGAATCTAAACAATTTCTATTAGAAAATTACTTCGATCTTGAAAAATGTTTTTAAATAAGCACCTATTTTATTAAAATAAGAAACTAAAATAATTAAACTGAAAGAAGTCATCATTACATACTTATTTCTGTCTTGATTTGTTTCTTATTTTATTCTTATAAAAAAGTAAAATAAATAACTAAACAAAAAAGTGTATATCTTATTATACGATTTATATTTTGCAATACAGTGGCGGTGCTAGCATTTTTTGGTCTTTGAGATAGCTAACTTCCAGACATGGAGCAAACTCCAAACATTTATAAGTTTATACTTATGTAAAATAAGGATGCTTTGCAAAAAATTACGATGATTGGAGCTTGGGAACAAAAAAACCCAAAAAAAGTTAGCCGATACTGCCCCAAACGTGAGAGCAACAAGTTGATGAAATACTTTTTGTACTATTATTTTCAACTAGACTTATATTTATCAATAAATTTTAAGTTTCATAGTATTATCTCTCAGCGTTCAAAAATTATGACCATTTAAAGTTTAAACCCCACCCCCTCAATTTGAGGGGGTTGCAAATTTTATATTTGCACAATTTATTCTCAAACCTCAATCATTTAGGGATTGCCTTAAATACTTGCTGTATATCAAAGTGTTTGCATTTATATCTACAAGGTATATGTAGAGTAGAGCGGGGCATATTGGGACACTTAAGAAACAAAAGTTGCTGATAAACTAATCATAATTAACACCGTTTTTTATAAATTTCCTTTTTTATTATTTAAATATGTTCAGACATTAAAATCTCAAAAAAGTAACACATATATTCAAATTACACGCCCATACACGCATACGCCACAAAATAGAAATAACAACTAAAATAAAATAAAAACTTTTGGTGTATTATTAGAAAATACTCGTAAGCAAACAAACTTAAGAAATTGTTCTAGAATTCAAGTAGGGCAAAATTAGTATATAATAATAAATTGGTAACTACTACTAAATTTGAAATTAAACAAAAAATATTATGGATCACATAAATCACACAAAAAAATATCCTGAAACTATTTGGTGATATTTTTGATGAGCTGGCTTATTAGCAATATTGGCATATTGCTAATAAGCCAGCAGTTGTAGAACAAGTTTAAATATGTCACATGTATCAGCAGCTTTTTCGAATTTTAAGTTCCTTTTTATTCACAGTTAAAACTGCATTTCATCCCATTTAAGATGGTTAATCTTTCTTATATAGTTTTTTATCATCGTTTTTTATATTTAAGACTATTAATAGTTCAAGTTAAGTTAATAAAATAACAGTTTCTTTGAATTTATTACTAATATTGCTTTTCAAAATTATAAAAATAATATTTTAGATTAAAAATAAAATCATCAAATGTACTAAAAATGGTAACAATATAGGCAATTATATAAATAACTTTTTGTCCAAATATGCCCCACAAAAGTCATTCTACTGAAATTAAAACTATTGAAAAAGTTCAATTTCAGATATTTCAAAAGTTCAAAACTAGATTCTAAAAAAAATACTGTGTGAAAATTATAATTTGTTTATAAACAGAGCGAATTAGCAATAGTTCAAGATAAATCTTTTGTTGTTGTATCCCTTACGAAAATAAAAAAATTTGTCTTTTCGCAAACTTACTGATGCATTTTGATACTTTTAACGCATTTGAAATTAATTTTTTTTTACAATAATGAAGCACAATAATTTGAAACGTTTTATCAAAAAAAAATTATATCTGAGATATAAATCTTCAGGCATAACTGTCCCGTTATGCCCCACTGTCCCAATATGCCCCGCTCTACCTTGTAGATGACATTTAGATTTTGAAGCTTCACAACTTAATTTTGCCCCAGGGTTCCGAGCTAGCTTGGAGTGCCTCTGAATGAAAATATTTATAAAAATTTAGTTATTAAGGTGCTCCTTGAAGTCCTTACGTTCTTATCACAGAGCTCCCCAGTAAGCACAGGACGTTTTTAAAACGTTTAAAAAACTTATGAAAACGAATTTTAACGTTTTTTAAACGCTTTAAAAACAATCTGTGCATACTGGGTCTGTGATAAGAAAGTAAATTTGTTTGTTCATTTAATGACGATTTATCGTTATTAAATTAACAAACAAAAATTAAAGATTTAAAAATTAAATCGAAAGAAAAGATAAAAGGATTTTAAGATTATTACTAGACTAAATCGAATTTTAGTCGATTAGTAAGAATTTCATAGTCGATTAAATCGAGCA